GCGATCTATATCGTTTTTTGTATTCTCTTTTCTTTCTTGTGTCGCTTGTGAATACAGCGTCCTGTAATATGTTTGAAATGCAGCGTTTATATCTTCTAAACTGTTGCATATTTTCCCTGTATTAGGATATATTACTTTATTGTGGTAAAGCACTTCAAATGGTTGCTAACACTAGAAAATCAGAAAATGTTTCCACATGTTTTCAAACCCAGAGAAATGTGTAACTTTAAAAAAAATAAAGGTAACGATGTTAAAAGCTTTGCATCCCCTTTGACCATGCGTCAGTGTTATCAGTGCTAATACTTCACCAACACCTTTATTTACAATAATGGAGGGTGTGCAAACCCCCTCCTGAGGGTCTTGGTGGTCCACAGATCAGCCTCCACTGAACCAGGTTTGGGGGGAGACTTCTGGCCAGCCTGTCCCCGCGACTGCCTGCTCTTTGGGCTGGCTCCCTCAGGGTCTGATCCGGGTGGTCCCGGTATTACTGTATGTCTCCCTCCCCCATTAACACAATTAATGTTGTGTTTTATATATGCATTATGATTTTCATAATGGGTTTTGTTATTGTTTTATTTATTTCATGTATTGTTTAATTGACAGACATTTATCTTAAAGTGAACCTATCATGCTATATTTGAATAATATAGTGTAGGACCATACCTATATAAGGCATATTTATACTTTTTTTTCCTTCAAAATACCAAACAGATCATGCATTTTAGCCATGCCTCATTTTGCTCAATTTGACATTTTTTAGATCTGTTTTAGCAAGGGCAGATTCAGTGAGAACAGCACCATCTACTGGCCTGGCATATGTACTACAGCATCTCCAGCGCTTTAGAACGGCAATGGCCGTGGCTGTCTCCTCCTGATTGGTAGAGTTGGCCCAATAGCCGTAGCGCCACTGTCCTGACGTCAGGACAGCAGTGACGTGCGGTGAGGTTCATGGCTGGTGAGGCACTGACTCTTTCAGTCAGATTTACAAATATTATAGCCTATTTTGACCTTAATCGAAATATTCTGTTATTTTCAAAAGCTTTTTTAGTCTGATGCTATGATTAATTTTAAACAGACCGATCAACAAAAGGATACCCAAAATCTAAATATTGGATTGTTCTTTCTAAGTAAGATCCCATTTTAATTACAGTTGTGGTCTTACCTTGACTTGAAGATGAATATAAGTCCATGCTATCCTTCTGGACAACAATCTCTATTACTGTTTTGTAAAAGTCCTCCTTATCTTCCTGTAGTTTCAAAAGTTTTGTTTGTTGTTTGCGGTAGAATAACAGTAGCAACAAGAACCTGTGGGCTCACGTGCGCCCCCTTCAGTGCGGCAGAGGTTATGGCTGCCTCCCCATGTAATTGTTTCATTGCCGTTGTATGATAAGACCAGCGAGCCTAAATATGATATATACGTGAAATAAGTTATTTAGAGACTATGGATGGCGAGGATAAATGTAATAAAGGGATCTACAAACATCACATTGGTGACCTACAGTGAGATGGTAACAGGCATGCGCTTAGGGCCCGCTTTCCAGCCAGTTTCTGTGGGGTGACACATTCTGAATTGAGGCAGAGCTCATCTGTGCCTCCCCTCAGAATGCGTCACCCCACAGTAAATGGCTTGAGCGCGCTCACAAAATAAGTGGCCCCGCTAAATTAGTGCCCGCGCTCCAGCAAGTTACTGTGGGCTTACGTGAGGCAGTGCTCGTGCTTGCCTCACTTCTCATCGCTCCCGTAGCGGAGCTCGGCAAATTTGCTGATTTTGACTATAAAATGCGATTGGAATCATACAGAAATCACATTTACACAAGATCAGTGGAGACATTTTATTATTATTATTATTTAGTTTTTCTTTAATTGTTTTTCCGTTACATTGGAGTATGGCTCTGCCTCCCCTGCCTCCACTGACTGCACGTCGCTGCAGGACAGTGTTCCAATCTGGATCAGTTTGTATCAGATCCGTTGCAGCCCCTTTTTTAGAGATTTGGGTATGGAGGAAAATAGAGAGGGTTGTGTTTTCTGACACTTGGTGAGTTCCCTGGAACACCGGGGACACATATTCATGTATACAAGACGTACAAAAGTGCATTTTGCATGATAGGTCCCCTTTAATGAATGATTCTTGTCTTACTCATATTATATTATTTATATTTATTATCATTATTATCACTATTATTTATCTATTTGTTCTTTGCTTCTCTCAATCTCACACAAACATACACACACACACACACACACACACACACATCTGAACATGTGCTGTACGGTTTGTTCTGGTCTCTGTTGGTATTTTGTTATTTGTTTTTCTGTCTCACCTGTAAATGCTATATCACTTAAAATAATAAAAAGACATTAACAAAACCTCCCAAAAATTGGATGTATATTGAATGCTCTTCCAGAGCAAAGAGAATGACCTTTCAGATATCCCTGAATAAGATCCTGTTTCCTCATTTACTTATTTTTCTTCATTAATTAACATTGATTCAAGATTCAAGGCTTTATTGTACTGTGCACAGTAACTATGGTGCACCTGAAGGTCAGGATGCTCTCTATGGTGCACCTGAAGGTCAGGATGCTCTCTATGGTGCACCTGAAGGTCAGGATGCTCTCTATGGTGCACCTGAAGGTCAGGATCCTCTCTATGGTGCACCTGAAGAAGGTCAGGATCCTCTCTATGGTGCACCTGAAGGTCAGGATCCTCTCTATGGTGCACCTGTAGAAGGTCAGGATGCTCTCTATGGTGCACCTGTAGAAGGTCAGGATCCTCTCTATGGTGCACCTGAAGAAGTTGCAGAGTCTCCTGGAGTCCATGTTGAACCTCCTCAGCCTGTGGAGGAAGAAGAGCCGCTGTGGAGCTCTTTTGGTGATGGTGTTAGTGTGATGAGTCCATGTCAGGTCCTCAGTGATGAGTCCATGTCAGGTCCTCAGTGATGAGTCAGGTCCTCAGTGATGAGTCAGGTCCTCAGTGATGAGTCCATGTCAGGTCCTCAGTGATGAGTCCATGTCAGGTCCTCAGTGATGAGTCAGGTCCTCAGTGATGAGTCCATGTCAGGTCCTCAGTGATGAGTCCATGTCAGGTCCTCAGTGAAGAGTCCATGTCAGGTCCTCAGTGATGAGTCCATGTCAGGTCCTCAGTGATGAGTCCATGTCAGGTCCTCAGTGATGAGTCCATGTCAGGTCCTCAGTGATGAGTCCATGTCAGGTCCTCAGTGATGAGTCCATGTCAGGTCCTCAGTGATGAGTCAAGTCCTCAGTGATGAGTCCATGTCAGGTCCTCAGTGATGAGTCCATGTCAGGTCCTCAGTGATGAGTCCTTGTCAGGTCCTCAGTGATGTGGACCCCAAGGAACCTGAAGCTGCTGACTCTCTCCACCGTAGTCCCATTGATGGCGATGGGGGCGTGTCCCTCTCTCTGCTGCTTCCTGTAATCCACAATCAGCTCCTTGGTTTTGCTGACGTTGAGATGGAGGTTGTTATCCTGGCACCAAGATGTCAGGTTTCCGACCTCCTCTCTGTACGCCGTCTCGTCATCGTCTGTGATCTGGCCGATGACGGTCGCGTCGTCAGCAAACTTCACGATGGTGTTGGAGCTGTGTGTGGCCACGCAGTCGTGAGTGAACAGGGAGTAGAGGAGAGGGCTGAGCACGCAGCCTTGAGGGGCTCCGGTGTTGAGAATCAGGGTGGAGGATGTGATGTTTCCCACTCGCACTGCAGGGGCCCAGAGAGTCGGGGAGGGAGGAGGCGATGAGTGTTTTGACTAACCACTCAAAGCACTTCATGATGATGGAGGTGAGTGCTACTGGGCGGTAGTCGTTGATGCAGGTGATTATTGTCTTTTTGGGGACAGGAGCGATGGTGGAGTGTTTAAGACATGTGGGGACTACAGACTGCAGCAGGGACCTGTTGAAGATGTCTGTGAACACCTCTGCCAGCTGAACTGCACACGGCCAGAGAACACAGCCAGGGATGCCATCAGGTCCAGGAGCCTGGTGTGGGTTAACCCTTTCAAAGGATTTGCACACATCTGCCCTGTTTAAAACAAAAGGGTCGGGCTCCTGATCCTTCTGTGGCTCCACAGCCTGGCTGCTCTCAAAACGTGCATAAAAACAGTTAAGCTCATCTGGGAGAGACGCACACTGACAGTCCCTCAGCACCACCCGCTGCTCCTTTGTAGTCAACCTGAAGTGTGAGGGTTTCATGTATTTTGTAAGATGTGATGTATGATCCAGCCGACTGTTTGTTTTGTCTTTGAAGTTGTGATGTGTTGCATGTTGTTTTGTTTGTATTGTACTACTGTAACATGACACGGTCACCCATAACCGCTTTATCAATGCGGTCAACATGTGTGTAAAAAATCTATAAATAAGGTTCACTAAAATCTTCACCATTGAAAATGCTTTTACTGGCATGGATCAATCTTCACCTCACAGTTCCTCTGCAGTGCAGTCAGGTGGCCTTTAGGCTTGTTATTCAAACAAAAAATTGTTTTTATAATGAACTTTTCAGTTAGTATAAATTCACAGCTTCCATCTGAAGTCCTGCAGGTTTCTACAGAGGAAAGAGATGAGAGATATTTCCAGCTCAGTGTGACGCCTCACACCTTCACTCTCAGAATATGTAGCACATGACCTTGGCTCAGGCGCTTTAATTCATTCTGCTGCAGTTTTGAGGGCAGCCCCGCAGGCGACGCTGCATCCCCCCCCCTCCCCCCACCCACACGACCCCAGGCTATCTGTCTGACAGTCAGCAATTAGAACTTCAGCAGTAACTACCCCAGAGCCTCATTACCAGTTCATTAAATCTGGTCTATCAGGAATTATCAGGAGGAACACCGGAGGAGAGTGGCAGCAGAGCTTTCGTTCGAGTGACTCCCCAAACTTCTGATCATGCTCCATCTCTGAGCCTTTGTTTCCCATGCTGAAGACTAACGACCTAAATATTAAATCAATGGGACACATGACCTCCCAGCATGACCAGGAAGCAAACAGAGACATGTTTCACAATCATAATATACAGTTTTTATTCCAAAGAGCAGCGTGTACCAGCGGAAGCTTATACACATTCAAATTCAAACAGCAAAAGGTTAAAATCCTCCATAATTTAAATACATCTCGGAAAAATAACACCCATTTATTTATCCTTAAAACAGGTAATAAAAGCTACAAAATGACTAGAGATCTATGCAGAGAGATAAAAAGATAGAAAAGTCAGAGTGGACTCCATCTGCTCCTCCTCTTCATCATGGCTGCACCTTCAGGTGAACTTATATGTGGGCCTGTCAAGGAAACTCACTGTGGGGGGGGCAAGTCTTCTGAATGTGATGAAAAGGTGTCATTCACAGTAAGGCAGGATTCTTCATATCAAAACACAATATGCTGTCTACATCACTATATACTCAGTATATAGTACATACTGTGGACATATGCAGAATCAAAGTGGATCATTAGGAAGCATCATGTGACATGCAAACAGAATCAATCAAATGTCAATGGAAGTCACAATATTGACTAGTGTGTAATATGTGTAAATATCATTCTGCAGGAAGTATTGTGGAGCTGCAGAGATCCAGATCCATATTCTACTGACTAAACAAAACATCTGTATTTGGTACAGATCCTCTTCAATCATAAGAATAATGGATCTGTGTGTGTGTGTGTGTGTGTGTGTGTGTGTGTGTGTGTGTGTGTGTGTGTGTGTGTGTGTGTGTGTGTGTGTGTGTGTGTGTGTGTGTGTGTGTGTGTGTGTGTGTGTGTGTGTGTGTGTGTTTCAGGGCTATAAAGGATATGAGTCGTAGTCCAGCTTCTGGGTGAGGACTCCGGTCAGGATGAACTCAGCGTTGTGGACGTCTGGAACAGAGACAGCAGAGACACAACTTCACACACAATGCTGCTGACCATGTGCTCTGCCACACACTACCAATGACAGTGTGTGTGTGAGCAGCTGTGCTTCTACTCCATAAAGGCATAGTGTGCATGCCCACCATTACTTCCTCTTATATGCGCACTGCAAATACCAGTGCTCCTGCCGGTAACACTACTTAAGGCAGGGGTGTCAAACATGTACAAGTTTCAGAGAAGACATTACCTGCAGCTTTCACATCTTTGATGTATTTTGTATGTATACATTTGATAAATTAGCAAGGCAAGGGAGAAGTTAACCTTCTTCTTTAATAGTTCCCACTTTAGCTTGTATGGTGGTGTGTCAGGATTACTACACAGAGGGTTCCTGCAGGTTTCGCCAACTCAAATGTAAGACTTTTTAAGACCACTTTGAATAGAATTTAAGACCTATTTCACGGCAAGAAAGTATGAAGGCAAATTGCTATGAAAGAAGAAATACGTCCCATAATTACTTACAAAGTAAATGTATTCATGTTCAACATAAGAACAATGACTGAACATAACAGCATAACAGTCCAGAACTGTGTGAGCGTGTTAGACAAAAAGTGTGTGTGTGTGTGTGTGTGTGTGTGTGTGTGTGTGTGTGTGTGTGTGTGTGTGTGTATGTTCGGGCTGTGCAATTAATCGTATTTTAATCGCAATTACGATTTTGGCCTGCCACAATTACGAAAACAACATAATCGAAAAAAAACTATTATTTAGCTTTGCTAGGTTGTGACAGTGCACTGCAACATATTTGATCTAATTTATTTTGGTCTCATTTATTTGTATTTATCATATTTATATATGTTTAGTAGCTTGGGGAAGTGCGCTCCAAAATATTTGATGATCTTGTTTATTGGTATTTATTATTTTGATATTATTTATTTAAATATATCATTTATTTAATTTATTTTTGTATTGGTTTTTCAGTTGAATTATACGTTCAGGGTAATCAACAGTTAACAAGATACTGTTCAAATTATTATTTGTTTTAAAGTTCAATAAATGGATGTTTTCAAAGTCAAGGAATAATCTTATTTAATAATCGTGATATCAATTATTGACCAAAATAATCGTGATTATGATTTTTTGAGTGTGTGTGTGTGTGTGTGTGTGTGTGTGAGTCTTACCAATGTTTTTCAAGAAGTACTCTCTACAGAGGTGCAGGTCGTTGTCGCAGGAGATTAAGATGATCTCTGGGAGGTTCTGAACAACACACCAACGTGGAGTTTGTGAATAAAAGAAGTCCAATAATCTTTATGAATAAAATGCTTATTACTATATTATTATATTCTACCTTATATGAAAATGAAATGCATTATCATGATTCCTTTATAACATCCCTACCACCCAGTGGCTGTAAGGACTTTATATCATGTGATGAAAGTGTGAGCACCTTGTTCTGTTTGTGCTCCATGATCTTCCTGTAGGACGGCTGTTTGGCCAGCAGCTTCCCTCCTGCACTCTCCAGGATGGGCTTCATGGTGCTGAGGCTGGGGCACATTCCCGGGGTGAGGTAGAAATACTTCCCCTGCACCCCCATCAGACAGACAGACAGACAGATGGTGGAGGACAGGGACACACTCATTAGAACCAATCCACGCCCATCAAAGCATTCCCCACTGTATTTCAACTCTGGAGTAACCAGACCAACGGCAGACTTGATGTCTCACCTTGAAGAGCGGTGCATTGTGGGCCCTCTTCAGTGAATCTTCCAGACTGAAGCCAAACAACACCTCTGCCTCTGCATCCCTCAGGGTGTAGCTATGCTCATCTACAACACACACAAACTTTTTTTGTTACATCTCATACATCCTTATTCTTTTCAGTAAGAACATGTGTAGCCTTAATGTAAAAACATACCCACAAACTTCTGGCTCCTCCAGCTCTCCTCCAGCCACTCGGGGCTGACGATGTGTTTCACCACAGACATGGCGCTGAGGAACTTGACGGTGCGAGTCACCTTACAGGCCACCAGGTGAGAGACCTTCTCACTGCCGTCTGCTACCTCCCCCCCTAAAGCATGTAACCTCTGCAGGGGGAGAGAAGACACACACCAGCAAACACAGAGAGCAGTTAGCAGCAGGAGACAGAGGAGATAATGCTAAAAGGAAATATCACTTTCTTTCTGCAAGTCTTCTGAATCCTGACCCACCCCGTTACAGCTTTACCTTATTTTGCTTATTCTGTTTAGGATACAGTTTGTTTAATGAAACCATTCAGTTGATCACTTGTACTTGACTTGTATATGACTTGTGACTGATTAAACCCATATCATTTTGTTATAAAATCGCATCTGGATATTCCTATCTTTATAAAACAAGTGTCAATTGGCAGATGTGTGGATCAGAGAGATCGCACTCTCATTGGTTGAGGCTCATGCTTTATCAGCTGGGAGAACTGTGTCTCCACTGACCGCACATTGTCTGACGGAGCTAGCTGGCTAGTGCTGCCATCCAGTGGAGACTCAGACAAAAGGTTTCCTCCCCTCTTACACACACACTGACCTACAACAGGCTCTAGATGTTTAACAGCAAACTGTAAGGTCAGCATCCTGTCTGAAGGTCACTGTCTTTAAACAGCTGTGTGAAGTCTCATGCTTATTTAAATACATGTGGTTTGTGTGTGTGTGTGCGCTTGCATGTTTGTGTGTGTGTGTCCAGCCGACCTTACCTTTGTGTATTGCTGCACTTGTGCCGGCTCAAAGCCTGTGAACATGACCCGGGGAGTGGACTCTAGAGGAAGCTTCTTATTGGGCGACTGGATGTCCTCCAGCCTGCACACACACCATTGGACTTTTAGCCACAAAATGACACATCGTAACACGGTAGTCTGCAAAGCTCCAACTGTGTGTGTGTGTGTGTGTGTGTGTGTGTGTGTGTGTGTGTGTGTGTGTGTGTGTGTGTGTGTGTGTGTGTGATACAGAGTGCACTGACCTGGCCTTCTTGTTGGCGGGCTGGCTGCTGGAATCGCTCATCTTCTGCTTGTGGAGCAGCTGCAGGCTCTACACAGCACACATCAGGACAGAACCACACTCGGATGAGCCAACATACACACTCAAACAAGCAGTGCAGCATCTACTAGGGCTGCTCGATTATGGCAAAAATCATAATCTCGATTATTTGGATCAATAATTGATATCACGATTATTAAAAACGATTATCCATTTACTTTGAAAACATCCATTTATTGAAAAAGAAAATGTGAACAGTATGTTTTTAACAGTCGATTACCCTGAACCTTAAGTATAATTCAACTGAAAAACCAATAAAAAAAAAAGAAAAAAAGAAAAAATCGTTTTATTTCGATGATGTTGTTTTCATAATCGTTGCAAGCCAAAATCGTAATTGCGATTAAAATACGATTAATTGAGCAGCCCTAGCATCTACCATCCACTGTTTGCTCTTTTCTTTCTGTGCTGACATGTATCACATTGAGATCAATGTGATACAGAGCATTGCATCACATCAAAGAAGAAGTAGGCAATAGTGTAAAACACCTCATCATAGACTTGCAATTCATAAAGGGTAAATAGAATGATTTAGGGTAGCATTACAAAAAAATCATTCTAATGTCGTTGAACTTGATAAAAGCCATTTTATTTTGTATTTTTCTTTTAATTATTCTCCAAAAACCCAGCCTGATTGGACTGTAAGGCTGCTCCTGTGTGAATGAATGTGCAGCAACAAGGCAAACACAAAGAGTCAAATGGTCAGACTCACCGCCACAGCCTCAGGAGACACTTTGATTGGCGCTCTCCAGGCGCCTGCAGAGGGAAACACACAGAGGTCAATGCAGATCATAATCTTTCCTGAGATAGAATATTCACAAAATGTAGACATACATACATTTTACTGCAAGTCCATACACTTTAAAAGCACCGATTACAGGGTTGATCCACAAGGAGCAGTGCTGTTATTAAAGGAACACACTCCAACAGAGGAGTGTGTGTGTGATAACTGCCTCGCTTATTGTAAGATGACCCAGATATTATCTTTAAGGAGTGTGAAATAAGGCCTGCAGGATTTGTGAAGAAAGAAAGTATTCAAGATTTTGGAGAAACCGGCTCGAGATCGCTAGAATTTGAAAATACACAACCGGAAAACATCTGCCACTTCCTTACAGAGCCCCTTCTCCAACACACACGAACGCGCACATGACCAATGAGGGCACGAGATAAGTTAGTGCACAGATGGAAGGCTGACAGGCAGGTAGGCCATCCAGTTATTTTAGCCGGGCCGGCTGATTGGTCGTGCTTTTTACAGTACTACGGCTTCCACAGATGACTTTTTTTATGGATTTTTTATCAAAGCACTTAAGATATTTATTGCTATTGGGATGTTAAGAGCATTCCATGAAATATAACAAAAAGTGTATCTCGAGCCGGTTTCTCAAACTTACCTACCCTACCTTTAAGTGTGCAAAAGATGATGGCGTTTTTCAACAACAAAAAATATTGAAATAATAAAACACACCCAAGCAAACCCTAGAACAAAGGTAACATTAATAAATGCAAGCCTTTTTTGGGTAGATTTCTGAATTTTCAGTGACTAAATAAATAAAATAGGTAGGCCCAGGCTAGCTCACAAAAATGCTTGACATTACTTTGACAAAGTGACCTTTCGGTTTTTTTATTTCCCTATTATTTTACCATTTGCCAATTTCTCCATTAAAATAACACTCATTATCCAAGATAAAATGTGTGTGTATATGTTTATGACTGTATCCATTTACTCACCCAGCAGGTTCTGGACCAGCTGTGTGTTGGGCACCAGGGGCTCGGGGTGTGTGTACATGCAGTATCTGCTGTGCTGGACCTGCCGCAGGGCTTCAAAGTTGCCAAGCAGGATGTCACACAGCCACTGCGCGTTCACACACGGGATCTTCCACTCCTTAGCCTTCTCATATTTCAGCCCACTGGGTCTGAGGAGAGATCAGCAAGATGACCATATGACTCACACTGTTCTGCTAATAAGTGCTACACAACACATAGGTTTTGCCTTCTTACATTTAGCAGTCCTTTATCACTTATTAAAGTAACAAAATCAAACTCAACGGCAGCGGGGACATTTCTATCCAGGTATTTGTTTGTCTTTTTACAAAGTTAGGAAAGGACAGTTTGAGGTAAGCTTGCTGTATCCTTATGGATGAAATAAGTTAGCCCAGTCTCCTAACTCAGTGGTTCCCAACCTTTTTGGTCTGGTGTACCCCTTGAGCTGGTCTCCATTCTATAAGTACCCTTTCACTCATCTGTGATGATTCGCCTGATTCAACATGTTGAATCGGCCGCGGGAGGTGTGAAAAGGTGCCGTAAAATCGGGTTGGTGTGTAGCCAGCTTTAAGCCCCTGAGCCTGTTTTTCAGGTTTCAGGCTCGAAAATGACCATATCTTCACTTCTAAAAGGGGTAAATTAATCATCTTTTTTCTCAAAGCAATGATAAACCTGTGAGTTGGATGTAGAAAAGTCAGAATCAATATAGATTTTTTTATTTGAAAGTAAATTCAGATTGAACATAGTAAAAAAATGTAAATTATAGTTTCCGTCCAAAAAAAAATACATGACTTATAGTGAAAACTACCCTTGAATGATGGGATAGTAGACTAAAAGCTTTAGGAATCCAAACTATAACATATAATAAGTACCCTGTATCAAGATTGATGCAAAACAAGTGACATTTGACCTTTTTAGAGAGGTTTAGAAAAAATGAACCACCTCTGGGGTCATTTGGGTGGATTTGCCATATCTCTGGAACCCATTGGTCGACTTTTGAACCATTAGAGCCAATAGAATCGAGAGGGAAGTTCCTAAATCCACCTACACGTTACCATTGAGGAGTGAGAGTGATACGAACGCAGTTTGCCCAAAACCGAAAGCTATGTTATGCTCTGAAAACTAGACTTATTGCCATAAATATGATGATGGATTATCAGTAATCATTTCAAAGGGACACAGAGACATTGGATTAACCTTCAGCAGCGTTTATATGCATTTTAATGCCATTGAACACAACCTTTGATCAGAAAACAACAAAGGTAAGACGTATTTTCCGTTTTGGCTACGTAAAGTGAAGTGTGTGTTCTCTTTGCTGGCTTTCGCTGCCCTGAGTCTTGATATCTTGGTTATGCAGATCCGATGAAGTATAACATTTGTATACCGTGAGTTATGTGCTAAGTGCGTTAGCACTCTTTCGCTTAGTGGTAATTCAGAGGCTTGACGTTAGACTTGTGTTTTGTTTCGTTAAAAACGGTTCATATCGTCAGGTAGCTGAGTTTCTCCCCGTTAAGTGGGTATGACACATTCATAGTTTGTTAAATGTTAAGAAGCATTTCAACTTGACACTTACACTTATTGTCAGTGAAATTAATAATAGCAGTTTCCACATCTGTTGTTAAGACTAGAGCTTTTGAAGGAGATTTGAGGTTGCTTGTCTTTCATAATCTTTGATAGTTCTGGGGGCAGGACACCAGGCTTATGAACATTGATTTAGTGTTTGTTTTTGTGGAAATATATTGCAATCCCCAATTCTTCCCCAGGATCAAACCCCCGGCTGGGAACCACTGTCCTAACACAGTTGGCAACAAGTGATAAATAAACTCTGGGGGAGGACACACGTAAATGGTCAACCACCAACTACGGATGGACGGGTACCCAGAGCCCAGGTATCAGCTGGGTATCGACTGAAAAGTATGATCAGAGCTACAATTGACACCTGCAGCAACCCCCCCCCCCACCCTCACTCTTTGCAGATGAGGACGGTGTTACTGCGACATAGATATCCTGTGTATCTGGCACCAGCCAGGTAGGCCATCAGCTTCAGGTCGTCCCTGTCGGCGTCCACAAAACCCGTCACTGAGATTATCTGATGGAGAGGACAGGCAGACAGCATCAGAGACATACAATAGTAATATACATAAGACACTGAAAATGGCAGAAATGAGCAGAAAGTGAAATAATAAATTTGTATTACTTATTGTCTTAGCCTACAATGCCAAAAAGAAAAAAGGCACTTCCTTGTGTTGGTACATACAGTATACCATCAGATAACACTCATGAATGACAGCAGCAGACATGTGTCGGCTGGACCTACGTGCTGAGAGCAGGGTTTGGCCCCAGGGGGGAAGGCGAAGGGCAGATGTAACGTTCGATGAGGAGGAACCATCCTCTTCCTCTTCAGGACGGTGTTGAGCCAGTGGGCAGTTACACAGCGCTTCCCCTCTCTGAGAGCCTGCCACAGAAAACAGCATAATCATCAACGACACGGACAAAGATGGACAAAAGGTTGCTAGCGTGAACTGTGGACTCGCCGGAGCATCGCAGCGGGGGTAGTACGCAGGCTACTGTCCCGCAGCTGCTGCCTCTCTGTTGGACTCCAGTACTGCACATTACTGACGAGACGTTTCTCAGTGAAACATTCAGGGCTTTTCAGAAAACATCCGGGGCTTGAGCCCAAGTAGCCACCCCCTAGCGCCGCCACTGTCATCGATTAACGTCTGAAACTTCTATGTGTTTTAAAAACTCTGGACGGCTAACATCTCGCTGTTACTTAGCCGCCTTTAGCTTAGTAGTGGTGATATTTGCGACCGTGATGTAGATTATTTATAGCCTAACGCAGAAATGTGTGAGACACAGAGCTCATTTCCTGCAATTATTTATTTTGGGTCTGCCTACAGAAAAAGTCATCACTGCACCACTCTATTAATGCACAATTAATGTACACATTACATTGAAGGAAATTCTCTCGGGAATCGGGTTACATTAATGCAGAGTTTCTGGACAATTTAGACTTTTTGCACATTACACATTCAGTGTTTCCCCTAGGTTTACTGCCTTGGTGCTTTGATATTGTTATTGTTATCGTACAGTAACAAAGTATTTGTACATTAAAAAGTAATACAGTACAGTGTTACACTGTACTGTATTACTTTTATTCAAACTGTATTCCCTTCTTATCATGTAGCCTACACTTCTTCCTTTCATTGATACATTGAAATCACCTGACTACAGCATATAACATACCTGCAACCCTGTGCTGCTTCTCTCTGCCTCACCCTCTATTGCTGGAGGCAGCTCCACCTCATCTGATCTCTGATATGAAAGCAATCGTGTTATGATCATATTGAGCTATTGGTGTGAGTCTAACATTAAACAAGCAGTCTGCTTGTCATACATTGCTGACGATACATTTTAAGAGGCAATTTGTTGAGTCACTGCCGCTAAATGCCGGTAGCATCAAGCTAGCAAATCCTGCATTAGCCTCACATCAACAGGTGTAGACAGAACATCCAATTATCCTGAGCTAATTTACTGAATAAACCAACTCACATCTCCTGTCTTTTTTTTCACCCAACTCATTAGACTATTCTTCTGCTGGCGTTTCATTGTTGTTTTCTGTCAAATTCAATACTGTAGTTCAAAACCGCGGTACCTGCTCACCATCTGTGAGCTATTTTTAGAATGCGCACGCTACGTTCGTTGTCGCGCGCATCCGGGAAGGCTGTGTGTCCTTCTCCTCCGTGACGATAACGGCTTGAGGTTAAAAAAAAAAATAATAAACGAATTTGAAACTGGGGGGGGGGGGGGGGGGACACACACACACAAACGGGCAGACAGCAGAGCTCGGGGCAATAATGCAGATTTGTTTGACTTTTTTTACACTTTGTTGTTCTCCTCCTTTTGTGTGTGTGTGTGTGTGTGTGTGTGTGTGTGTGTGTGTGTGTGTGTGTGTGTGTGTGTGTGTGTGTGTGTGTGTGTGTCCTTCAGAAACAGAGCGGAGGGAGAATGAGAATACGCAAAGCAGTGGACACTGAAACATGCACATACATTGGATAAATAACATAGGCGTTTAGTTTATTTAATAAAAGAGCACATGTTCAATGTGAAAAGTGACCGTAGATAGATTACTTCAGTTGCAATTTGGTGCTATATATATATTATTTTTTAATAAAAATAAATAAAAAAACACCTTGAATTTCAGGCCAAGACAATGGTAGGGGAAACACTGACATTATTCATACCATGTACATTCTTTAAACTTTGTTGTATAGCTCTTTTGTGTTTAAAAAATATATTCAACAAATATCACCAGATTGTTTTCTCTTACTATGTTTACTGTGACTGGTATGCACCTAAACACCAAGAAAAACTCCTTGTTTGTAAAAAGAGTTTGGGATTCTGATTGGTTCGGACGGTCTGCAGTGTTTAACAGTGGTAGAGTTCTGATAGCACACATTACCTGAACATACATGCTGCTGACTTGACTCTCACACAGCAGGTGTGTGCAGCGGCTGGTCAGGGTGGGGTCTACAGCACCCCCACATGCCTGGATCACCTGAGGAAGGGGTTAGGCAAACATGAAATAATCCACAGCAGAATTGATTTTTTTTCTCCATCTTTGCTTATTGGCACTATTTTAAACACATGTTAGATGCATTAATGTCTTACTCTCTTCCATGTAGCAAGGAGTTGTTTGTCAGCCATCTGTTCTGGGTAGTCAGCAATAGCAAACACACAGCCGAGCAGGAAGCCATCCTGTGGAACTGAGAGTTGGAATAGAAAGAAAGTACACAAGTGAATCTGCAGGTCCAGGAAAACCAGGTCAGGACCTTTTAAAGGACTTGCACTGAGCACGGAGTTTTGGTCACGCAAGTCGAAGGGAAGATTTTAAAAACCCTGCCCGACAACTAGTGCTGCCTTCGACTAAGATTTTGTTCTAGTTGACCAAGAGTCCTCAATTCATGCAATTAGTTGACTAATTGTTGCACGTATATCATATATTATGATTATTAATATTATGTATAAATGTTTTCTCCCAAAATGGTTTCATGGTATAAATTAAATGTACATGTAGAAAGCGAATGAGAGCACAGAGTCACAGCGCGGACGGAGTTAAGAATTCTTAATGTTTGTTGGAACAAGCAGCGAGGACACACACGGAACATTTAGGTCTAGATACTAAATACTACACAGGAAACGGAAACACTGAAAATATGAGCGTCGTCATCATGAAATTAAAGATTTAATTTCTCGTTTTATGAGGTCAGAATGATTATATATTATAGGTCTATATACCGTATTTTCCGGACTATAAGTCATGTTTTTTTTAGCTGTCTGGCTGGTCCTGTGACTTATACTCCGAAGCGACTTATATATTGTATTTTGTCTGACTGCGTTCAAACTACGGCCAATAGATGGCACTGTATACAATCGTGACAAGCCGGCTCGGCTAAAATAATTGGATGACCTACCTGCCTGTCAGCCTTCCATCTGTGCACAAACTTATCTCGTGCCCTCATTGGTCATGTGCGCGTTTGTGTGTGTTGGAGGAGGGGCTCTGTGAGGAAGTGGCAGATTTTCTCCGGTTGTGTATTTTCAAATTCTAGCGATCTCAAGCTGGTTTCTCCAAAATTACCTACCCCACCTTTAACGACACATTTTTTAATAAGAGCGACTTATACACAAGTGCGACTTATAGTCCGGAAAATACGGGATGTTGATACAAAGCTAGGCTGCTGCCTGACTCATTGCTGCGGGTATGATTAAGCTCTTTGTTTTCGAATGATGCCCACACTCTGGAAGCTGCGCTCCGATGGCGTTGATGTGGAGGAGACGTTTTGCCTGCGGAGTTTGCATTTCACCTTTACACGCTCAGAAGGATCCCAAACTTTGGACATCCTGCCCGACAAAATTAACTGAATGACCTGGCACAGCTCTGAAGGAAGTCTGAGGGGGTTTCCGGCTTACGTGTCAAAGCACACGCAGCGCACAAATTGACTTTTTCTCCTTTTAAAAAAAAATGTATGCTTGGATTAAATAGACTAATTAAAAAAATGTTTGTCAAAGATTTCTTTCGCCGACTAACGTTTAGTCGACTAATCTCACTTTCTCCTTCTCCGCTGAGAGTTGCACTTGCACATTATTCATCATGCACTCACAAAATATAAATGGTGAAGAGTAAGCCAGCATTTACATTTTCCTTGAAACATTTTTAGTGAGTGAGGTTTTGTGGTGTGAACAAAACTCGAGATTCATTTAAAGACCGCTGTCAAGAATTCTTCATGTTAAGACGCAAAGTGCTTTCAAAAGGTGTAGGGAGCATTTACTGCTTCAGGTTTAGACCTAGTGGAGCAGACCTACCCAGTGCAGGTGCTACGGAGACGCCACGCTCACTCACGAAAGGTCCTGCTGCAGCCATTCTTCAACGCAGATCAAGCACATTGCATCACTGCCACCAAGCCAGGTCGCAAAGGAGCTAATGATGGGCCCATCGCAATTCACACTGCCGTTGGATGGGCTTTGCAAGGTGGGGAAGAATGTGCGCCAAAACAGACCTCAGTGCAGCAATGCCTTATCTCCCCAGTTACAAGCGCTGAGGACCCCCCGGTCCACAAGCAGAGTGTCGAACACTGGCCAAAGACGCCTGAGCTTGCAACCATTGCTGGTTCAACGGACATAAAGGGCTCATTAGAGATCTGCGGTTTTACAGCAGCAGAGCCAACAATCTGCATCCTTGATACTCACAAGCAGTACGTTCTATACACAACCTTAATGGAAGTGAAGGGGAACTCTAAACCGCTTGGATATGTGTCGTCTGGCGTGGCCGACCGTGACCCCATCATGCCAAACTATCTTCTCATGGGGCAGCGGAATGCAACCCTGCCTCAAGCAGAGGTCTTAGTAAAAGGTAAAGTCTACAAGAGACCAGTTGGTGGTGGCGAAGTCCATAGGGACTTGGCTTGGCAACTGGAAGGTCACCAGTTCAAGTCCCGGCAAGACCAAGGTGAGGTGAGACCGAGGTGTCCCTGAGCAAGGCACCGTTCCCTACACTGCTCCCCGGGCGCCGTTCATAATGGAAGCCCACTGCTCCTGACACTAGAATGGGTCAAATGCAGAGAAACCATGTCGTTACATAGTACTGAACTTAACTTACAGTAACTTTTTTAAGTTGCGGGTTTGATTCAGCTTCCTGACATCAAGGACGATACCACAGGCACTTTCCTGTTTTGCACGTTTGCTGCACAAATGTGGGGGGGGGCGTGTCAATAATTATTCATGTTGTACCGTACGTAACCATCCATGCTCTGGAAGTAAAGACATTTAATTCTATCTGATGACTCTGTGCTCTCTGACCGGAGCCCTGCCCACAACCCCAGTTTAAAGGGGTCCAATACCCAACAACTGCATAAAGATTGGACTTGACAATTAACTTTAGCCTGTTGTTAGTGAAAAGTGATACTTCAGACCTGCTTTTAATCTGTAATACATTTTGTGTTTTATATATTTTAAGTGTGTTGTTTTAATGATGTTTTTATGAAGTTTTACTCTGTAAAGTGTCTGTGAGTTTCTAGAAAAGCGTTCTATAAATAAAATGTATTATTGTTATTGTTATGACTCACTTTCTTGACCAGGCTCGTGTCCGAACAGCTGGGAGATGTGTGGAGTCTGCTGTAGCTGCGGCTGCAGGGCAGTCTGCTGCTGGTTCTGCTGGGTCAGCTGGTTCTGCTGCTGCAGAGCCTGCTGCTGCTGATGGTTCTGGAGGTGCTGCTGCTGCTGCATCTGCTGCATGTGTTGCTGCTGCTGCAGGAAATGCTGCTGCTGTTGCTGCTGCTGCTGTTGCTGTAGCTGCTGATGATTCTGCTGCTGCTGCTGCTGCTGCTGCTGCTGTAACATCTGCATGCGTTGCTGTTGTTGGAACTGCTGCAGCTGCTGTTGCAGAGCCTGTTGCTGCTGCAGCTGCTGCAACCCAGGCCGGAGGAGCTGCTGGGGCCGGAGCTGCTGCTGGGAGAACGCATGTTGTTGTTGTTGTTGTTGCTGCTGCTGCTGCTGCTGTTGTTGTTGTTGTTGTTGCTGCGTAATCATCTGCTGTTGGTGAATTTGCTGCTGCTGTTGTTGCAAAAACTGTTGCTGCTGTTGGGGTAACTGTGCAAACCCTTGTTGTGGGACCTGTGGCTGTTGCTGCTGTTGGTGGTGTAGCTGCATCATTTGATGCTGCTGCTGCTGGAGGTGCATTATGGGATGTTGCGGTTGCTGTGGTAACTGTTGCTGCTCAGCTGCCTGGTGTGACTGTTGCAGTAACTGCTGCTGCTCTGCTGTAAGGGGCTGGCCGGCCAGTTTAGACGGGAAGAGAAGAGGGTTGGTACTGTTTGGGGTTTGAGCATGGCTCTGATTGGTCTGTTGCTCCAATGGCTTTGTCTGATTGGCTGTCAGATTCTGGATGATCTGCAACAGAGGAGGACAAGGGAGAATTAGCAATGTAGAAAGGTCCCTATAGGCACGTTCACGCCGCAGTACTTTTCCCACTTTAGTTCCGATATAGTTCCGAAATGTCACGTTCACACCAAAAAGAGCCGGAACTAAAATGAGTTCATGAGAACCTTTTTACCCCCTTTTCCGTCCCTGCTAGAGAGCAGGGACTTTCGTGGGAGAAAAAGGTTCCTATGTCTGATTGGCTGGGGGGATTGCAAACCACGCCCCGTAAAACTCCCAAAAAGTTTTGTGAAGCCGCCATTTTATTATCTTCGCATTAGCATTATTAGCATTAGCATTCGCCCAGTGCACAAACGCAGAGAGACTAACTTATGGCAACACAAAAGAAAACATGGGAGCGGTGGAGATGAGGAGGTGTCGGCGTTCTGGCGATTTACTCGGAAGGCTTCAGTAGAAGCTGCTGGGAGTCCCAGCAGCTTCTACTGAAGCCAGTCCCCAACTCCGGGGACTTCCGGCCGGGGACTCCGGGTGGCAGTATACGCCGTGAAGTTGTTTGCGGCCTGCCAGTAAACCCAAAGCAGAAGAAGAAGAAGTGACGTCAGCGGCTCATTTGCCTAATCCTCCCCCAGGGACTTATTCCGGTGTGAACGCGATCTGTACTTAGTTCATGAGAACTAAAGAGTTCTGATGAACTAAGTTCTGATGAACCTTTGTGGGAAAAGTACTGCAGTGTGAAAGCGCCTAATGATATCAGTGTGGTAATTTGGTGTCATTGTTTGTTTACATTCATTAATTGTACAATTACAGCAGGCAGGGATTTTCTTACATGTGCTACGTTGGCAGGTCGATTGGCTGGCTGCATGTCAGAGTTGTTGGTTATGTTGCGGAGGGTTCTAGCAGCTGGGCTCCACCCAGGGACGCCCTCTGGAACTGGTACACCTAAATATCAGACAGAGGTGAAACGTTAATTTACAGGATACTGGGTTAGAAATATGTAATGCCTTCAATTAAAAAGTCCTGCCATTGATCCCATTAACATTCTGGAATAGGAGGTGGAGGAAGTGGAGAAATCTGCCAGTAGACTGGACTGAAAAACGAGCTCCACTTCAAAGACATTCATCACAAAATCTGACATCATGGTCTGACAGAGTGAGGCCTCTTTGAGCTGTCAATGTTACTTCATGATGTAGCAGGGCTTTAAATGCACATGGGGATGAAGGGCTGTATGTAGGAGGAAGTGTTTAGCCTGTGGATGGTCTAGAGCAGTGGTTCTCAAACTTTTTTCAATAATGTACCCCCTTTGAAAAAAATGTTTTGCCAAGTACCCCCTGATCAGCGCAAAAACTATTTGTTAGGGGGAAAAAGCCTATATAAAGAGATACAGTACAGCGCTGCACCATCGGTGTCTGATTTATTAAAACAACAACCTTGTAACTGAGAAACACTTAAATGCTACATTTCAAATGTTTACAATCCATCACTAAATTCATGGCAAACCAATTTGAACATCATGCAATAACACTGAGACGACATTAGTTGCATTGAACTGATCTTTTTAATAAGTTGTACTAACAATATAGTGAGAAACATGGGCTTGTGCTTCACTGAGGATCTTTGTCATTCTCAGTGACAGGGAGGCAACTGCAGTTATTACACTTCACGTTTTGAAATATGTGTAACTGTTCATATAAAACCCACACTGCTCAAACTTTGTTACTTTTCCTAAAATTGGTATATTTATTTATTAATTTTGGGGCGTGGGGAATGAAGAGAAAAAATGTATATGAGCATTTATACCTATAACCGCCAGACGGGATTTTGACCACTCATATAAACATATGCATAATGCTGCGCTATACTTTGCAGCCACACCCTGTTGCCAAGCAACGCTTTTTGTTTAGGTGTCCTTTGATAAGCAGGCAGTCATATCATTAGCTAGAACTAGCTAGATCTGATCGATATGGACATAAACGCGAGTGAAGTCTAATCTGACAGCAGAGAGAGAGATCAGCTGCTGCTGACGGAGACACACGCAGCTCTACATGATCACCTGCAGCAGTGAGCGGAGCAAAACACACACTAAGAGTTAGAACATCACACTTAGCTATTTGATCTACTCTGGAACTAGCTAAACTAGTTATAAATATGTTTATTCTTTACTGTCGGGTCACTTATTACAGGTTCTTCAGCGAGCTGCCTGAGCCTGATACTGACGGGCTGTCAGGAGAGGGAGAGGAAAAGAGAGCACCCCGTTTATTTTTCCCATTTTATTATTCAGAATTACTGTAAACTTTTGAATAAAGTAGTTAATCTACTATTAGTAGTTTGTTTAAATGTATTACTTATTTAGTTTTTTTCATTAACATAAAATAAATCTCACGTACCCCCTGCAGTACTCCAACGTACCCCCATTTGAGAACCACTGGTGTAGACTGACCTGGCTGTATGGCGTGAGTGATAGCGGTGGCAGCAGCAGAGCGAGCCTCAGCAGGCGTAGCAGCTGCGCTGCCGGGGACCGGAGGCACAGTGGCACACAGGTTGATCAGCCCGCTGCCTGTGGACGGCGCTGGTTCTTTGTTGCCAGGTGGCCCCCCTCGCCGCCTGGCTGTGCCGCTGGAAATAGGGGGCGTCGGGGTGACAACCTCTGCAGGGGTCCAGTTCAGGTTGGGGCCTTCCTTTTCTGTGGAGGAGTCGGAGTCGGAGTCGTCGAACATGCGCTCGCTGCGGCGGTCAGCTTTACGGGGGGAGCTCGGGGAGACGGAGTTCAGTCTTTTGGGTCCCGGCCGTCGGCGGGGGCTGGAATCCTCACCAGACGAGCCGCCACTAGACATCCTGGAACGCCGGGGGCTGAAGCTTCCGTCTGAATGGTAGCGCTGGTCATATGAGTCAGCTTCACTGTCCTCCTCCTCAGGCTCTATGTACGTGAGTCTGGGATGATAGAGCAACTCATCCTTCCTGATTTTTTCTGTGAAGGAGGAAAAAGGAGAGTTGTCACAATTATTGTTCATCATTTCAAGTCTTGTAGTGTTCAGCTGCCAAAGCACTGCAGATTGAAATGAGCTTTAAAGATCTCCTATCATGCTATTTTTAGGCATATATTATGGGTCTCAGATATATAAAAATATATAAAAACATGTCTATGATGTGTTTTGCTGAAAATACCAAACAGATAGGAGAGATTTCTAAAATAGAAATCCCTTCTATCCCTCTATTCCAGCCCTGTTAGAGAAACGCAGATTGTGGGTCCTTAGCTAGAAAAAAGAAAAAAGAGGAGGCGGAGCTAATGCCTGCTCACAATTACCGGGCAGCTACAGTTAAATTCTGCCGTGATTAAACGCCATCATGTTCCAAACTACTTCAAGGATTATTTCTGAAACAGTATGGAGCTCAAACTCTTTTTCTCTCTCAGGTTTACCACAAGGTGAGTTCCTTTTTTTATTTCCTGCTTTTTTACACACTCTCTCCAGTACAGGTTAGCTCTGAGTGTTAGCGATGCTTGCTAATGTAAACAAAGACCATATTACGTCCAAAACACATCAGGCATTGTTTCTGATAGCAACTTTCTGATAGTGCCGTGGGTCCGCATGTCCAATCTGACGTAAATCACGTCATATTGGACATGCGGACCCGCGGCAAATCTGGATCAGCTCCGTTGTACCCCCGTTTTTAGAGATTTGGGTACGGAGGAAAAGAGAGTGTGTTTTCTTTTCTGACACTATGTGAGTTCCCTGATACACCGGGGACACATATTTATGTATAAAAGACATCAAAAAGTGCATTTTGCATGATAGGTCCCCTTTAAGCTATAGTCAGGCATATAGCATATTCTCCCTTTTTTAGATTCATGTATTTTAATGCATGGTCCTGGTTCAAAAAAGACATAAATATATAAGTTTAAATATATTAATAGACTGGATTATACTTGATAAAAGTGATGACTAGCAACATTATGTTGAAAATATATATGTATATATTTGCATTTTAAGTTCACTTGTTCTTGCACCTTTAAAATAAAAGGATGTGTCCTTATACCTTTAGACTGAAAGGCCATTTTTTATATATATATTTTTAGTTTATTTTATTAAATCTTTGAATTCTGTAATAGAAAAGTAATCATATTAAAGGTTTGGACGGTTGGTGGTTCAAAACAAGCAACCCGAGTACATGACCTTGGGAAGTGGGAAACTATAACAGGCATATCATCGAATCTTTGAATGAATGCATTGATACAGCAGACACAACATTACCATCACCTTTAACAGAATGTGTGATCCAGTCTGGGGTGACAATCTTGATGCCCGGGTGTTTCAGGGCACACTCAAACTTGGCCTGAAAGACGAGAAATATACAACCACTGAGTGCCTACATTAGCACTTGCATAGGCGCATCTACAAAAACAGGTTTCTTACAACACATTAGTTTTCTTACAGAACCTGAGCCAACAATAAGACCAGTATTTCTATGACAGACATTCTTAGCAATAACATGCATGGTGGATATGGCAAAATGGTAGAGTACACAGAGCTGGACCTTACCCCCTTCGGTTCCTTCACTACTAAGTGGGTGACCTTCTTGTTGAGGTTAAGTTGACATGCTCCTCCATAAAAGGTTACGTAAGCCCAGAACGCATTGAGATCATCTGGAAGCTACACACACACACACACACACACACACACACACACACACACACACACACACACACACACACACACACACACACACACACACACACACACACACACACACACACACACACACACACACACACACACACACACACACACACACACACACACACACACACACACACACACACACACACACACACACACACACACACACACACACACACACACACACACACACACACACACACACACACACACACACACACACACACACACACACACACACACACACACACACAGGTGGTGAAGTCTTTCAAAAGTAACTCCTGTCAGGTCAGCAAAAGGCCACAGTTACCAAATATAAGTTTAGCTTTTTCAAAATAATGTTGAAGAATAGACAACATTTATCAACCTTTGTGAAATCCATGTCTTAACTAGAATAATTAAAGTGTCTCACACACACAACTCACACTGTTACACACACTTACCCGAGGAAGACAAGCCGTCACACCAAAGAATATCTGTCCTGATTCTGGGGAGAACCCTGTAACACTGGTGCTCATAGTTAGGGAGAAAAAAAAACATTTCTTTGGGCGAATAAATCCTATTTTTTTTAATATCTGGAATCCTAAACATTATTTTTCTCTAGTCATCGCCACTGTTACTTTACATTTTTAAATGACACCACTTGGAGGTATTTTGGACTCGATGGTGGAAGGATACGGTAACAGGTCTCCACATCTGACCGAGAGGATCACCCAGGATGGCTGGAAAACATAGATTAAAGCAAGTTGATATGAACTGCTTTCACTTTGTTACACTATTTTAAAGTGTTTTTTTAAAGATGTTTTTAGTTAGAGGTCTGAAATAAGGTCTGTGGTTAACACTAGATTAAAAGATGTTGTTCTACAACATAAAATCTGTCAGTCAATACCACACTGCTGAATGCCCTAAGATTCTAAGTGTTATAAAAATGGCGGGTGCAGACAAGTGTCTAAATGAGACAAAAAAACATAACGCTGAACATAAGCCGCCTTCAGCTTAGAATCAGAATCGGTTTTATTACAAAGTAGGCTTACACATACGAGGAATTGGCTTTGGTATATGTATGTATGTATGTATGTATGTATGTATGTATGTATGTATGTATGTATATTAGCTGTGGTGACGTGAAGTCATGCCACCATGATGTAGTTCCTTTATAGCCTCACGCAATATTAGAAAACCCAATGTAAAAATCCCATTGTTTTTTTACGAGGGAGCCTTGCAATGCTAACTTCCGGATCTGCGTACAGAAACATGTCATCACTGCATGGCTCTAGAGCGGTACATCCAAAAAGAAAACCAAGCTTAACTTTGTTTAGTATGAACACACTGTGGCACAGGCCTTACCTTGACCACAGGCAGGTCAAACACCTCTCTGGACTCGCCCACCTCGGGGTTGTCCCCGTCCTCTGCGATGATGTGAGTGGCCAAAGCATTGTAGGACACCTCCTTCCCCTTCCCCGCCTTCAGCAGCTGCACCACCTGAAACACCGGCACACAGTTCAGTTAAGATCATCTCACTCCAGACTGCAGCCCAGACTGGCTTCAACAATGACATCAACATCAGAGCTGCAACCATTAGATGAAGGAATTGAACATGTATTCAGCCTCTCAAACATGGAGACTTCCTGCTTCTCTCTGTTTTGAAAAGGTTATTATCTTTTGGTTCTTTAAAACAAGATATATAAAGACATCCCCTTGGACTGGGATGGACATGTTTCACTACTTTTTTAAATGGTTTAGTCCAACAGTTAATCGAGAAAAATATTCAGCAGATAAATAACTTATACAAAATCTTCTTTATTAGCAGACTTAACTAACCGTTTAAAGAGTGGCCAAAGATCAACAACATGAAATGAAGAGAGTATGAGAGGAGGCAATTGCCGAGTACAGTTAATAGCAATATTTTGGAATAAACAAGTCACTAGTACAGAGCTGCGGTTCAGTGAGCTCTTCTATAAACACACAACATGCTGCTGTGAACAATAAGCATTAAGCAAGGAGAAGTCTCTCTTTTGGGATCATTTAGTTGACCTTTTCCCAAATGATTTCCCCCCGCGTACTTATAAGACCAGAAAAAATGATTTGATAGAAGCTTGAATACAGTAAATGTCAAACATATGTGTTTATTATATCTTATTGGTAATGTTTAAAATGTTTAGCTCTTAATGCTTATGTGTAATACATGAACTCTCTACAATTAAAGATGTGTGCCGTTTAGTGGCTGGGCCCCTGCTCTAAAGCTTAGGAAAGCCATTTCCATCTCAATTATGTTTTATGATTGTACTTGTAATAACAACAAAATGTTTCACTGAATTAATAGATCTGGGAACGGAGCGCTCTGGGGGGGTCCAACGGGGCCGTGGAGTCGCCTATACGGTCATTCGTTTTCATAGCCCCGCCTCTCCCCCGCGGGGTTGCTATCGTGCTCCAGTCGCTACTGACCATGCTACAGTTCTTTGTGCAACATCTACAGGAGCTCCTCCTTGAATTCAGATTATTTATCTTTATCTCGATATGGACATAAACGCGAGTGAAGTCTAATCTGACAGGACGGAGACACGCAGCTCCTGCCGCTGTGATGCAGCGGGAGCAAAACACACACTTCAAGTCAGATCATCACCCTTAGCTATTTTAATTACCTCTCAAACTACCTAAACTAGTTATAAATATGTTCATTTTTACTGTCGGGTCACTCATTACAGGATCAGCTGCTGCATGAGACAGACACTGACGCTGTCAGAAGAGAGGAAAAAGAGACAGGCTCCGTGTATTTGATGATTATATATCATTATATCGTCGTTATTCATTTGTTTTAAAGCTCAATAAATAACAATGAAGACCTTTGACCGGCACTTTTATAATTTTGTCTGGAAGATTTAAACTTTAACACACGCTGACCGGCGAAAAACTCTGCCCGGTTCCCTCGGCCCCCACCGCGGAGAATACACAGAAGTGCAGCCATGACAACCATTCTTCTTCGCTGCTTTTGTGGAGGAAGTTGCTGCTTTTGTGGAGGAAGTTACAGCGCCACGTACAGGTTCGGCATATGTACTGCAGCTTTTCCAGCGTTTGGATGTAAACGGAGCCGTCTCGTGGAGCTTGACACAATCCGGTGTATATTGCGTGGGGACGGAAGGTTTTTTGCGGTTGCATTTGCGTTACTCCGATGCGTTTTGCCGTATTTGTCCTCGTGGAGCCGGGGCCTGAAGCTGTGGTGGAGAGGCCACTGAACAGGCTGTTGTCCATCATGGATAACCCAGGGTTTCCCACACATAGACTTTACTTGGGCGGGCCGCCCAGGTATATTAACGGCCGCCCAAGTATTTTTCGCGACCCATTTAGTTTTTTTTTTTAAGTTTGAACGTTTTTTTTTAATGTATTGTGAACACAACGCTGCGCAAATGTGGGTCTGCCTCACACAGGGTGACTGGCTGTCTACATGATGTGGCCTGCCCACATGGCCACTGTCATACAGATCATAAATCAAAGCCCTTGATTGGTCTCTGTGTGTCATTCAAGCTCGGGATAACCTCAGCTCAGGTGAGGTAAAGGACTCTCTGAGTGTTTAGATAGTTAACTTAGTCTAAGTTCTCAGTGGTGGTTTGGTCACCATTTATGTAAACACATATTTCCATTTGAGGGGGTAGTGACCAGTGTTGGGCAAGTTACTTCCAAAATGTAATATATTACATATGACTTATTACTGTCTTTTTTAAGTAATAAGTTACATTACAATATTACTGTCTCTGAAATGTAATGAGTTACACTACTTTTATATTACTTTTGAGTTACTTTCACCAAAATAACCGCAAAAGAATGGCTAGGTATTTTAAATGCTAAAATGTAGTTTAGTGCAGCAACTGTGTAGGCCCTTAAGGCTACTAACAACTTTTATTACAAGGCTTAGTTGAATACTCGATTCTGATTGGTCAATTCCGTTGCTAAGGAGGATCAAGAAAGAGAAAGTAAAAGAGGTTAAAAGACGGAGCGCTGGACGTCAGATAAATGAACAGAAGAAGGCAGAGAGGAAGTAAACACTAACAGGAACACGGTATGGGCTCTGCAGAGTTTAGGGACTTGTTAGTGGATCAGAAACTGTAAACAGAGTTGGACAGTGCTGCCGTAAAGTTGTTGTTGTCGCAGTTCCAGCTGTTGGATATATAAACCAGTTTCAGTGTTTTTTCATATTGGATATGGTATGTTATTGGTTATGGCCATGATTTTATGATTATTGAAATGTATACAGTTCGGTTTCATATGGGTGTTTCCATAGATCTAGTCTCTTTATCTTCCCCTCAAAATGCACCAGATTGATGCATTTAACTCCCAAAAAAAAACTATAGGGCTATCACTATGGGCAGCAATGCTGTAAATATTGACAAAAGCTGGTAGTTGCCTGGCTGGGTGTATAATTTCCGGCCTGACTTATTGTCTCGGTCCGGCCCTGGCTGTACCTGTTCGCTCTGCCATCGCGTGAAGGGTCTGCTCACAAGCGACCAACAGAAAGGTTAATGTTGTTATCCCCCCCAATTAAGCCCACCAATCCTCTCCACCTGCAGCTGCACAGACAGAAGCTCCTTCTCCAACAGACTGCTGCAGCTCCGCTGTCACACGGACCGATACAGGAAAACATTCCTGCCTACTGCCATAACTCTGTACAACAAATCACCTCTTGCTGGCAGAGAACTCTCTGCTCCATAGTTTCTCTTGGCATAAAACCACATTGTACATTTTACATTTAAATAATCTGTTCAATATTTAATATTAATATTCCTTCTGTCATATATTTATGTATATATATATATTTGTATATATAATACCTTGTATTCAACATGTATTTTTTTTTCAACTTTCTTGTTTATTTCTAGTCTTTGAATTTGTATTGTATGCCTTGTCTTTTTATGCTGCTGCAACACAACAATTCCCCAAATTGGGATCAATAAAGTACCATATTATCTTATTTTAGTCACTATTTGGCAGGAAGTGCAGCTCCGTGCCACAGGTCACCAGCACAACGAGGGAACGAGTAGTGACACATGCGCAATAAGGACGCACAATTGAGCAAGATGTTGATGGTCACAGGTTGATGCAGAATAACACCGAGCCTAATCCTGAGCACCTAGCTGTTCCATCAGAGCCGGATCAGCAGACATGCTGAGCACTCTTGCTTTACAGAAAACAAACTAATACATGCCAGCTTTTTCTGTGAAAGATCAACCAAAGGCATTAGGCTAGCAGCTAATCATCTGTGCAACTACGAAACTCATAGCTAAGGAGCCGCATGAAAGTGTAGTGCTGGGTGATTAAGCCTCTTGACATAATATTCAGTGAAGTCGGGTTTCAGGAGCACAATCTCACATATAAATTACTGGATACTATAGGGATCACCCAGTACTGTATGTGAGGGTCCAAAGAGCAACTTCACTCATTTAGCATGTCAGCTAGTTAGCTTGCTGGTTAGCTTCTCCTGGAGCACATCATTTGGATTGAATGCTGCTAGCAACTTAGCATGCTAAACAATTTAGCTACAAGAAGCTATCGTTTTTGTGTCCAGAGCCTCACCTTCTCGTCAATGTCCCCTACCACGTAGAATTTGACATCTTTGAAAAGTTCGTCGGAAACCTTATTTTCTTCTTCAGACATGATTTCCCATGAATGTCATAAGAATATTTATAAAAAACCCAGTCAAAAGCTTAAAAGAGAAAAAAGTCTGTTATGTTACGGCAGCTGGGTTAGAGCGTACAGTAAACCGGAGACTCTAGCGCCAAATCGCTGAGCGCGCCTTGGACTACTACATTCTGAAATGCGTAGGGGGGTTTATGATATATTATCCTTCGTACAAACGTGTATTTTGTCCTTTATTGCTCTCCAATCCATTATATCGCAGCCTCTAAGTCTGCCTAGAAAGGATACGATGAAGAGCGCTGATAAAACAGATTTACAGGGTCGAATTGTTTATTTAAGAGACATTAATCACCCTGTCATATGAAAGTTTATGTTTTTATCCAAACATGTAACCTAGATTATTTTAATCAGACAGTGAAGTGAGGACATTTTACATTTTTTGTGTTTTGTTTAAAACTTTAAGTCATAGTGAAGCCATCAAAAAAGGCTTTGATGATGCTGTCCATATTGTATAACTCTGTTTTCAAATGTATATTTCTTGATTGACATTTTTTTTTTCTTTCAATGTGCGTTGAATATAAGTTTTTCTAAAAGGAACAGTGTATATTGCAAATGTAAATGAATACTGTAAAAAAAATCTGTAAATGTCTGTTATATTCTTATAATAACCTTGTCTTGACTCTTGTGTAATAACATTTTGAATACTAGTGTTTAAATGAATAAAAAGTCAGGGTTAAATGTCCATAGTTGCGGTCGAATAATCCAAAAATCAGCTCCTAAATTCTAACCCTATCGTCTATTCCTTGACCTCTGAGTGAAACGTCATGGGGTTAAGGGATAGTGGATAGGAGAAATCAAAAGGATTTAGGAGAAGAGACTGCGGTACTTTAGAGAATCCGACTGCACTTTCACTATCCGACGTGTTTATGATGCGCCAGCGGACGTCATAAATGTGCGTGTGGGGAAACTATGGAAACTACAGTGTTCTATACAGCGGACTACAACATGGATGTATAATAAGAACGAGGGACTACTGTAAACTCATCTAGAGACTCTGCACCGTGCTCTGATGCTGTTATGCTTTATGAACGTGGACAACAGAGAAACATATTCTTCATGACCAAAGTTGGAATTGAAATAAAAAAGGAAAGTGAAACTTATGCTCGTCACCCTCTCCCTCCGGTCCACATTAATACAAATGATCCCAATACGTATGATTGTATGAAAATATCTTAAAATCAATACAAATGTATTTATTATAAACGTTAGTCCTTAACATCTATCACTGTGTATATCACCATTCAAACATCTTTTAAAAGTTGAACAAACCCCACACAGCTCAGTAAAGACTGTGAAATGTTGACTTTATTTGATCATTTCAGTAAAAACTAACGTTCATATTTCTCTTTTTGATTATAATACTGATGAACGTTCAAAACAAAGCACTTTGGCAACTTACCACATACGTTTTAAAATGCTTAATAAGCACCGTAACTTTCATGATATCATTTCTCGTTCATTATCGGTTGTTTCCGTGAACGGCCGACTGTTGTGTGACGGCAAATGCCGCGGCCGCAAGGCATTGTGGGGCAGCATTTTCTCCTCTCCTTTAGGTTAGGGAGGTCCAGTGGTTCCTAAGCTAAAGGAGGTTATAAAGGAAGTTTGAAACCTCCTTTCCTTTCATTTCGAGAATTCGAACGGCACTTATCATGGCTGCCACTGAGGGACTTCCGGGTCATTTCACTCCGTTAGGAAGGTTCCTAAGCTAAATGGACTATTCGACCGCAACCCATGGGTGTTTCTCAATCGCGAGTAAAGCTGCTTCAGAGCCACTATTTCAAGCATACTACGTCATCGAGTGCCGCCGAAGTACTGTTCCAATCTCCAGCATACTTGGAAATCTACCGAGCCCGGCGTACTCCGTTTGGAGAAATATCGAGGCTGCACATGAGTAGACTCCGCGGTCTTAAAATCCCCACAATGCTTTGCGCACGGACCAATTTCCCCAAATCTGTGGCGGAAGATGTAAGGCGGGGCCTCTCATATGACGCACACCTGCACACTTGCTAGCCTGTTCCACTCTTCGTTTTCCGAATGTCAGGAAGTATTCTTGACTCGCTTCTGAAGCAAGATGCTCGGCAGACATGTGCTACCAAGCAAGCGTACTCGCGATTGAGAAACACCCCATGGCTCTTACCCAGGGTTGCAAAGGGGCGGAACATTTCCGGTACATTTCCGGTAAGTTTCCGGTAAATTTAAAAATAAAATAAATAAAAAGTTAAGCTGGGGAATTTTGGAAATATTCCATATTGGAAACCTTCCATGGGAATAATGGGAATTTATGGGAACTAACTTGGAATTGAGGGTAATGTAATGTAATTGTATCATATCCAAGCATAAATATAAACATTTTGTTTTGTCATAAGAAAACATCAATGCAAAATGATTTTGTGTTAAAAAACATGACATTTCAACAGATTTATTTGTAAGTAGAACAGAACAAGTTTTAATTATTTTATTGAACAATTATTTGTTTCATTGAAGAACAAACACATGAATGTTGAGTTAAATATTACTCATCCCCTCAACACCACTTATTCAAAAATGCACCCCCCATCCAAAAATCCCAACAAGAAATCATCTGTGCATGTGATGGAGGAATGCACAGTGCCTGTAGGGGGTGTGGTCTCAATAGCCATGCAGTAAGCAGTGTGCTATGTGCATGTGATTGAGGAATGGCATGGATATTCAAGTGTACTTGAATGGCATCTGTTTTTTTTAGTCAAGATTATGCTAAAATATACTTTCCCCAAATATATTTAAGTTCCCTATGAAGAGCCAACCTTCCATTTTGAACATTCCTAGTTTATTCCCGTTTATTCCCTTAAATTCCCGTTCATTCCCATGGAAAGTTTCCATCTTTGAAAATTCCCGGAATTTTGCAACCCTACTCTTACCATTTACATCACTCTTGTAGGCTCTACACAAACAGCCAAACCACATTATTATTGATTTTTAGGTTTTAGCTAAGTAACAGTTTTAAGAGAGTATGTTTCATGTGAACACAATATATTTTATTCAAATATTGAATTATTAATTATAATTAAAATACAAGTAATGTAAATGTAAATCAAATCAACAAATGATGAAAAACATAATACTGTACGGTGGCCATCAGAGCAGTAGTGTTTAACCTGGGGTTCAGGGGTGGTACAAAGATGTGTAGATAAGCTATAATGGGATGTCAATGTGTGCATGGAACTTTCTTTGTACATAAAGTAATAGAAAACATGCATACCCATAACTGCTCTGTGTCCTGAACCTTTACAGCTGAGCTAACATTAACTTTGACAAATATAAATGTATTGCAACCGCCAACATACCATACATTAAAGCGTATACTGATGAGACAATAAGCCTGATGTTTTAGGTTATAGAATAAACAGGTCCATGTCTTTCCATATTTAGGGCATGGACTTCTGCAGAACAAGCCGCTGTTAGGCATCCCTGCATGGAACACAACACCAATGTTCGCGCAGATGAGACATACATCATTTCAGAGTTTGTGTAAAAGGCATTTTTGGACAAAGCAACTATTACCAAAGTCAGATCCTCAGCTTTAATATATTAAATAATTGTCTGACCTTTAACTAAACCTGTACTAGTATTTGTGGTCATGGATCTAAAACAAACCATTCAAACAGCTGATTTACCATAAGGTTGGTTACTTTGAAATAATAAGATTATAATAATAATAATTAACTCTGACCTCATGAATGCTATACCTCTACTATAATTAAACAAGCTTGCATGAGAACATTAATTGGAATCACAAAAATGTTCATTGTCAATCAAAAACAAATATAAAAGATAAAAGTGCCAGTTTAATGAATATGTAATAACGTAATGTAATAAGAACTCACCATGGGCGGTGGTGGCTCCAACAATGTGTTGGTGGCTCAGTCCGTAGGGACTTGGCCTGGGATCCGGAAGGTTACCGGTTAAAGTCCCCGAACGACCAAGTAACTACAAAGGTGCTCCTGAGCAAGGCGCTGTCCCTACACTGCTCCCCGGGCGCCGTACATAATGGCTGCCCACTGCTCCTAACACTAGGATGGGTCAAATGCAGAGAACTAGTCCGGCAGTGGCTCAGTCAGTAGGGGCTGCGAGCTGTAGGGTCGCCGGTTCAAGTCCCCAAACAGACCTAAATATGGAGTGTAGACTGCTACTTGGAGAGGTCAGTTCACCACCTATTATGCAAAATCCACCTTTTCATGTCTCTTCTACATCAACATGTGTCCCCTCTGTGTAAAGAGACTTTGAAAGTTTCAGGGGAAAAGATTCGCTCAGTTTTTGTCCTGATCCATTTATATAAAAACCTGTCTGAAAATGAGCTGATCAGATTTTGGCCACTTTATGATGTCATAACGATTTTTTGTCTTGTGTAACCATTAGCCAATTACCAACCAAGGTAACCCCCCCCCCCCCCCCCCCCCATATCACCTGAATCTCCTCCTAGAGCACCATTAGCCGTGTTCACACCAAGCACTTTGCCGTACTTAGTGCCGGCACTTAGTGCCCTGGCACTTATTACCCCAGGGCACTTAGTACAGATCGCGTTCACACCGGAATAAGTTCCCTGAGGGAAGATTACGCAAATGAGCCGCTGACGTCACTTCATCTTCTTCTGCTTTGGGTTTACTGGCAGGCCGCAAACCACTTCACGGTGTATACTGCCACCCGAAGTCCCCGGCCGGAAGTCCCCGGAGTTGGGGACTGGCTTCAGTAGAATGTGCTGGGACTCCCAGCAGCTTCTACTGAAGCCTTCCGAGTAAATCGCCAGAACGCCGACACCTCCTCATCTCCACCGCTCCCATGTTTTATTTTGTGTTGCCATAAGTTAGTCTCTCTGCGTTTGTGCGCTGGGCGAATGCTAATGCTAATAATGCTAATGCGAGGATAATAAAATGGCGGCTCTCCAAAACATTTCAGAGTTTTACGGGGCGTGGTTTGCAATTCGCCCAGCCAATCAGAAGTGGGGCACTTTTTTCCCCCAGGAGAGTACCATGTCTCAGCAGGCACTAAAAATGGGGGTAAAAGTTCCCGGCACTAAGTACTCTTTTTGGTGTGAACGCG